AGTACATTAGAAGTTTATGGAGGGCATTAGAAGTATGGAGGACTTTAGTTTATGGAGTACATTAGAAGTTTATGGAGGGCATTAGAAGTATGGAGGACTTTAGTTTATGGAGTACATTAGAAGTATGGAGTACATTAGAAGTATGGAGGACTTTAGTTTATGGAGGAGGTTAGTTTATGGAGTACATTAGTTTATGGAGGGCATTAGAAGTATGGAGGACATTAGTTTATGGAGGGCATTAGAAGTATGGAGGACTTTAGTTTATGGAGGAGGTTAGTTTATGGAGTACATTAGAAATATGGAGGACATTAGTTTATGGAGGTCATTAGAAGTATGGAGGACATTAGTTTATGGAGTACATTAGAAGCATGGAGGACATTAGTTTATGGAGGGCATTAGAAGTATGGAGGGCATTAGAAGTATGGAGGACATTAGTTTATGGAGGGCATTAGAAGTATGAAGGACTTTAGTTTATGGAGTACATTAGAAGTATGGAGGACTTTAGTTTATAGAGTACATTAGAAGTATGGACGACATTATTTTATGGAGGACATTAGTGGGAATATGTAGAAATAACAACGAATGAAGGACGTCTAATATCTGAAGTCAAAAAAACAGACGCAAAGAAAGAATATCATAAAACTGGACGAGACACTTTATGTAGTGGCTAGCTCAGGTTACCTTAAACTGGACGTGACGCTGTAAGTAGTGGCTAGTTCAGGTTACCCTAAACTGGACGTGACACTGTATGTATTGACTAGCTCAGGTTACCCTAAACCGGACGTGACACTGTATGTAGTGGCTAGTTCAGGTTACCCTAAACTGGACGTGACACTGTATGTAGTGGCTAGTTCAAGTTACCCTGACTGGTTTTGGTGACTTGTGTAGGTTACTCTGAAGAGGACGTGACTTTGCACGTGACCATGACAGACATTCTAAGTGAAATCACCATAGTGACCTGTCAGTATCAGGTTCATCTCAGCCAATGGTGATAAACTAGAATTAAGTGGACAGTCCATAGAATTTTGCTGAGCCATCGAGGAAAGGGAGAGGTTAGATTAGGTTAGGTTAAGTTAGATTAGGTTTTTGAATTTCACACAAAGCTACACGAGGGCTATCTGCACTAGCCATCCCTAATTT